AGAAATAGCTGTTTGTGTGTCTGTGTCCATGTGTAGAATGAATCTGTATGGAGGTGACTGATCATGAATCAGCTGCTGTACCTGCAGGGCACTAATGAGGAAAATTGCAAGTTCTGCATCCCTTAAGGCTTGGTTCACATATGTGTGTGGGATCCGCATGAAAATCAGTGCAACCGCACCACCCGCACAGAGAAATGTGGACCTGCGGGCGGGTGCCATTAGTTCTAATGGCACGCCGCCCGCACTGGAAAATGCAACCGTACTGGGAACCGGGGTTCCCATGCTGGCTGCGTTTTCAGAAGTGCAGGGACTTCTTCCCTGCGCGTCGCGGGGCACGAGAGTCCGTTCCTGCGCAAAACACAGCCCGTATGGCCACATATTTGTGAACCAGGGCTTAGTCTAGTTTCACACCTATGTGTTGTCCGTTGCATTTTGCAGAAACTCACAGCAGTCCACTGAACATGATTTCCTATGGGACAGGATCACATCGCTGCGTTTTCATCCGATGCATTTTTTGGAAAGGATCAGGGACCTTTTTAATTGCAAAATGTTGCTTTTTTTGTTCTATAGACTTCAACTGAGACCCTGCAGAAAAGCATGTAGTGTATTTTTTTATGCATTTATGATGCATTTTTTAGGCGTTTTACGTTTAATCTGCCCAGCAGCAAGTTGGAAAAAACGCATCAAAAACAGTGAAAATACACATGTGCAAAAGCACTGCAAAAACGGATCAAACACAAACTGCATAGGTGTGAACCTAGCCCATAGGGAGTATTTTATCAAAAATGACATTTTTGCTGCAGGAGATGCCAAAAATCTGACTTGTATCTTAGTGCAGACTTCTGGGAAAATCAGTAAGCCAATCACACATGCAGGAAATTACATTTTCGGGGGCGTTCTGTACACAGTCTGTATACAGATCACCTCCAGGTACCCATATTGTATTGAATTTTACAGAAAATGACAGCTTTGCAGATTGAAAGGGAAAGGTAATTTTTAAAAACATTCAGAGCAGATTCATACATGTGTGATGTGGATTGAAGCTCAGGTCATTTACATCAGGTTCAGGACAGGATTAGAAGAAAAAAATTTTGTACTCCTGCACTGGATGATGGACTCCGCAGTGACTAACCATACATGGATAGCCTATGGAATACACACCTTGCTGCCCTCAATGGACCAGGGAAATCCAAATTAACTGCATGCAAAAAGACAAAGGGCGCACAGGCCTAGTGCATTACCTTTAAAAATTGGTTTACTGTATAAATTGTGATATACTCACAAAGGATCATCATAAGAAATACAGCAAGGTCCAATCTCCCTGGAAGGTGTTTGGTTGGGGACTATAGACCTCCAAATTTTCTGACGCATTTCGAGGTGATGTTTCTTCCTCAGAGCCGCTACCAACATAGACTAAGTCAATAGCCTGTAATTTGCACCTGAACCGGACCGCACTGCTCAGAAATCGGACAGGACTCTTTTTCAAACCACCCTGAATCCTCACCGTCAGTGCACCAGACATATGTGAACAGGCACCATAGGAAGCAATGTCTTTTCACATGTCATGCGGATTGGATGCAGTTTAAACTGCATCCAATCCACATATATGTGAACCAGCACTTAATTACAATATGACTTGAGTCGCAGTTGTATACGCGATCTTATTTTTTTTATTTGCTAATTTTTTTTCCCATGAAAGTGGAGTTACCCTTTAAATGAAAGAGAATGTGTGTCTAGCAATAATTTTAAAAAGTTCATGTGTTTATATTTGACAAGCCATCCCACTTAGCACCCCCACTACTTTAGTTTGCACAGAACAGTCTGTTTTAGGTTCTAAAGTCTAAAAGTAGGTAAGGATCTTCAGTAAAGTTTTCTTAAATAGGAATTCCAGGATATTTTATGCATAGGTCCAATCTGGACCAATGTAAGTATATATACACTATACCAGTGAGATCCTTCTGGAGATAGAAATGACTGAAGTAGACATCACTACTCCAGTGTTCTCCACTAACTTCTGGGTCCCATACTGAGCAGCTGGCCCTCTGCATTGTGAATATTGGAGGTTGACCGCTTAGCACAGGTACCATTCACAGAATGCTTTGCATTTTACCAGTGAATACATAGCATTCTCTGATTGGCTGTAACATTGCCATCTCCCTCTCTGTGCTGGCACCCGCTCACATAGTATAATTGCTCAGCTGGGCAGGTTAATGTCATTTTTAATTTTTTTTTTAATATACAGCTTTCATTAATGAACACCTGCTGATCCTGCCATGAAGGTCCTTGTTAACTACATGTACTTTAAAGCATATTTGACTGAATATATGTGTACTCACCATACACTTGTTTGGTTTCTCCCCAGAGTGAACTCTCATGTGAATGAGCAACTTGTAACGAGCATTGAAAGGCTTAAATCGTCTTGGACAGCCAGCCCAGAAGCATGTGAAATCTTCTCCTGTACGCTGGTCAATATGTGTCTTTTCAATGTGTCTCACCAGCTCCTCCTGCTGCTCATACAAAGCACTGCAGTCTATCCAACGACACAGTTGTATCCCTTCTCCACCAAACTTGTCCTGTTCATTGGTTAGCGCCTTGGGGGACATTACTGAGTGAAGATGGAGGGGTGATAAAAGCCCCTGCTGATAGCTATCCTCCGGTTCTTGCTTTAGGAAATTGAGCTTACTACAGTTATTAGGGGTGGTGTTGAGGTGGAGGTTGGTGGTGACCCCTGAGCAGGGTATGTGTACCTTTTGTGGGGGTTTCAGCTCACCCTCATCAGAACTAGGAAGGATACCCAAAGCAGAAGATGGAGACCCACAAAGACCTTCTGGCAGTGAAGCTTTCGGTGGGCTGCTGATAGGGACACTTCCAGAACTAAAAAGGACCCTTGTTGGTGACACACAAACCTTGTTCATGTAGGAGGGCAGCGAGGTGTTCGAAGAATGAATAATTCCCACAATTTCAACGCTATCTCGGGAGCATCCACTTCTCCCTGCAGACTGGAAGCGAGCAGATGGAGAATTGCTTCTGCCTGTCTCAGAGCCTGAAAAGGTACCGTGCACCGAGTCTAAAAAGTACGATGACAGACGGTTTTTAAGTCCATTTTGTGGCAAAGCATTGTCAGGAATGAGAGCCGCCCTTAGGTCTGAGATACTCGACAGGCGAGAGGGCGAGGAGAGGTGTGAGAAGTCACAGAGACCCTCCTGCTTGATGCGACTGGCAGAGTGGGTCCCGTTCAAGCACACAGAGGTGTGGAATCGTGCCGACCTGCAGGGGAAGAAGACAGAATGACCATCAAAAATGGGCACTGAAAGATTTGGCTACTATAGAACACATCCTCTCTCACCTTATTTATCCTGGACAAACCCTTGGAATGATTTTCAGCTCCTAGGAAACTCCTGTGAAAACTTATATCTACAGTTCATGGTATATTAGAATGATGAGTAAATTGTAGATACAGGAATAAAGAAATAACAAATAATGGGCTGTGTAACTAAAGAATTTAAAGCGTATCTAAACCCAATGCCAAAAATGTAATATATTGCAGACTACTGCAGTGGTAGCAGCAATGGTTTTCTTTTTTTCCAGCTTCTTTTGCTTTATTCTCATCTGACAATTCTGTATAAAAACACACTTCCTGTCCCTGGGTGGCTACACTACCTCTCCACTTCATCTACGAAGGGAACCATAGTTGTCACGCTAAGCTGCTCTCCTGATATCTCTTCATCTCCATTATATGGGGTACAGGGCAATTGGTGGTTTGTGGAAGATAGCTATTTTCTTCACAGCCGCTCACAGGAATTGACAAAGACACAGCATTTCTGGCAAGATAACGGGTATTTGCTGAAAATGTTGGCTGGCTTCCCATTGCCCAACAAATAGAATTCAAAACATTAACAATAACATATAAAGCCATTTATAACTCTGCCCCAAATCACATCACCAATCTCGTCTCCAAATATCACTCAAACCATCCTCTACGCTCCTCGCACGACCTCCTGCTCCCTTGTCTCCTCCTCCGATGCTCGTCTCCAGCACTTCTCCAGAGCCACCCCCATCCTCTGGAACACTCTACCCCAATCTATCCAACTATCGGCTACTCTGCCCACTTTTAGGAGATCCCTGAAAACGTATCTCTTCAGGGAAGCCTATCCTGCCTTCAGCTAATAACCGAATCTTCTATTTCTCCAATCAGTTCATCCCCCACAATTATTACTTTTTGTGCCACCAGCCCCTCCCTCTTAGATTGTAAGCTCCAAGGAGCAGGGCCCTCCTAACCCTCTTGTATTGAATTGTATTGTTGCTGTATTGTCTCCCATTATATTGTAAAGCACCGAGCAAACTGTTGGCACTATATAAATCCTGTAAAACAGCGGCATCAAACTGGCGGCCCCCCAGCTGTTGTGAAACTACAAGTCCCATCATGCCTCTGCCTTAGGGAGTCATGCTTGTAACAGTCTTGCAATGCCTCATGGGACTTGTAGTTTGGCAACCGCTGGGGGGCTGCCAGTTTGACACCTGTGCTGTATAATAATAATAATCCTTTAACATACATTTTATGACACAGCTTGCTGTACATGACTAAATGACTTTCATCAATAACCATGAAAAGAAATGAATCATAATAATTGGTAGAAAAAAATCAGAATGTGAAAACTGTAGTGTCACCTTACATTAGAGATCAGTGGAGAAGTGCCAGCTTATGCTAGTGGTCCATTGCTGGTCAGTGTAGTAGTGAACCTTTACATTGGATGTCAGTCGACAACTGCCCCCTACAATTGAAGGTCATTGTAGGAGGGACATCAAGAACTACCACTGCTCACAGCTCAAGGAACCCCTAGAAAGCTCTGGAGGAACACTAGGGCTCCACAGAACCCTCATTGGGGAAAGCTGATATAGCATAATGATGCTGTGCCTGTTATATATCTTAGCACAGGGCTTAAAATTTCAAGTCCTGAGCTACTAGCCAGGCCTTAAGAGTTACTAACCACCAACAAAACACACAGAGACACCTGTACATGCACGCACAGACATGCGTACACGCACGCACAGACACGCGCACACACAGACATTTACATACATGTACATACACACAGACACATTTACAGATAGACTCATGTACATACACACAGACACATGTACATGCATACACAAACACACACGTACATACACACCCCTATAAAAAGTTGCAGTACTTCGTTGTTCACTCACAGAGCTGGGTACTGCACTCTAGGGGGAGGCAGAGAGCACAGCACACACTTCTTCCTTTGCTTTCATTGCGCTCAGCTATTGAGCAGTCTGACGGCTCCCAGTGCCAATGATAGATCCAGTCTGAGCTCTGAGCCTGGGGGACACACTCGCCCCCACCATAATTTCCACTCGCCATTGGCGAGCAGAAATTTCAAGCCCTGTCTTAGCATCTCACATATATTCACTAATCATTTGTACAACCCAACCATTTCACTCAGATCATTGTTATCTTTGTCACTAGTGCCAGTCCTTATTGAGCCTTTCAGTCTTCTTTCAGTCGTTATTATATCCTTCAATATCAGCCCCATTCTTATCACAACCTCAGGGTCAGGGAGATGATTCACGTATTTGTATCCAATCAATAAAGTTTAATGTAAGCTTTAATATCTTCATGTAATTTCAGAAGTCATTTGAAATATTTGGAAATCTGCAGCTTTCAATAAAAAAAGTTTGGTGATCCTGGCATGAAGGTCCTTGTTCAGGCACTGTAAATACTCTATCCTTGTGTAAGGAAATATCTCTTATTAACTGGCATCCATTTGGTATAATGCCTCCATTTTAGATGTGTAAACAGTTAGTTTTGTTTTTGAGTTTCACTTGTAAATTCTCTCTCATTTCATGATTTTAGTTTCTATTCTCTATAAACTGAACTACTTTATATGGTGGTCCTCAGCCATTTGTAGTTACTATCTTCTTTGGTAAGAGTAGAATATTTCATTGGTTGTTCTGATTTTTTATAAACTGGTTGCATGCATTAAACTTTCAGAGATTTAGCTTGTACACTTCGCTGTCTGGAGCTTTATTTCTCCTGCGTCCAGAAGGTTAAAATATTTGAGGACATTTTGGGCTACAGACAGGAACTGATCCTTTCACCTTGTCTCTCAGTTGTGGTCCTGCATTGTCCCCGTCACATAGGCTTTTATAGGATATAATTTCAACACACTTTAGACAGGTATGGTCTACTATTTGTCACAAGTTAGCCTGCAGCCTCTTGTTTGTTAGGCTACGTTCACACTAGTGTTGTGTGCAGGCGGCAGAAAGGCGTTTGGGAAGCGTTTTTACCGTTTCCCAAAAGCCTCGGACAATTCTGCACATTGCAGCACATGGTGCTGTTCTAACGGGAGCGTTAGCGTCGCAGCAAAACTGACGCCTCTGGTCGAGTCAGGAGGCGTTGAAGCCTCCTATTCTAGTCTATGGTGCCGCTCCGCAAACGCCCGGCCGGCATTTGCGGTGCGGTTGCGGGGCATTTGCGCAGTGGCAACACCATTAAAACTTCATTAAAGGTGTTTGTAGGGCGTTTTTAATGCTCGGCAAATGGCTAGCATCCGCCGCTGAACCGCGCATGTGGCATTTGCCGAGCGTTAAAAAACGCCGGACCAATGGTAAAACAGTCAAGTGTGAACAAGCCCTTAGTCTTACCTACTTGCTGTTCTTGTTCCTTCACATGTGTTTCTCTGTGCTCACCTAAGGGCATCATCTGCTTTTCCCTGGGTTTTATGTCCTTCCCTTCCATCACTTCCTGTCCCACCACCTTGTCTGCCTTCCTATTTAAGTTGTGCTCAGACTAGGCCACATTGCCTGAGCAATGGTTGTTGTTGGAGAGCTCCTGTGTATCTATTATTGTATATCTGTGTACTGATCTTGGCTTGCCTACTGGATCTCCTGTGTCCTACTCCCATTGTACCCTGCTCCTGCTAGCGGTCTCCTCTACCGCAGCTGGGCATACCTGGGGGCTGCGACCTGGTTCCAGCCAGCTCCAAGTCCATCCCCACCATCAGGGGCCCTGGTGAACAAGCAGGCTGGGGCTTAGACTCTGCGCCCTGGGGAACCCCAAGCTGTGGTTTTATAGAGCACTACCATAGAGGCGACACTATTGTCATCATCAGAAATCCAACACTGAGCAATGCAAGGCAGCCATTGCTGGAATGCATGTAGACAGAGGTGGCACAGAATCTTCAGCACTGCTCTCTGTGAGTAAGCAGCCATCTCTCTGCATTGATTCACCCCAACTAAAGCTGGCTTCTCATAAACTGGAATGGCCATGGATCATGAATTTATGATCTTTTAATACATGGATCAATATTCATCCAGTTCAGCATTTCGATCCATGTATGGCCAGCTTACATCAGACATAGGGTCGGCCCATACCATGCCAGTTATTCGTTCCTGTGCAATCCACATGCTGTTCTGTGCAGTGCAATTTCAGCCCATTCATTTTGAATGGGCAAAATAGTACTGAACTGCACCACCCCATGCACTAGCACATGCACTGCTTTTTAAAAACGCACTGCAACCAGATCGTATGGTACAAAAGTACCATGCAATCTGGTGCGGGCAGACGCACTGCATTTGGAACCTATCTTTAGGATGTCATTAGGTTGGAATTACACCCTTCTAGATCGCAAATGGAGTGCTTTTTGTATGCAGTTTGAATCTCGTTCCTGCAAGTCATTCGTGGCCATGGTGTGAACTGGCCCTTAAAGCTTTGCAATTAGCAGGGAGCATGAGCTTGCTGACTGCAGGTCTATTGGAATGAGTTAGCAGGGGAGGGGGAGTATCAAACCAGGGGCGGACTGACCATTCGAGCATTCAGGCACTGCCCGAGGGCCTGGGGTCAGCAGGGGGCCCCATGAGATGCCCCTGGTACCTTTCCTTGGCTTTTTCATAGGCTTTTATGGGTGTGGGTGAGGACACAGGGCTCTCATGATCCCCTATTGCCTGGGGGCCCCATGAGTTGTCAGTCCGCCCCTGTATCGGACCACTGTAGAGAGACAGCTGCTTACACACAGAGCAGCTGCCTTGCTTTTGGATCAATATGCTCTCCTAGCACTAGAGCCTGGATTATATAGAAGACAATAGTAAGACATATTCAGCCTCAATTAAAACAGATACATTTTTTTTCTGAAACTACAAATTTTGCTCTAAAAGAAAAATTTTAAGCTTGCACTAATCATTTTACATTGACAGTATTGCTTCTGTAATGCTCATATTGTACTCATTATTATTACAACATTCTCCTCTGATTCTTCTATTAGAATTCACCTTGTCATTATTATTGTTACAATATTATAATTACAGACATGGCCAAAAATTTTGGCACCCCTGCATTTCTGTCAGATGATCTACCACTTCACCCAGAAAATTGTTGCAATTACAAATATTTAGTCATTTTCATGTTTATTTTTTATTTTTTTGTATTGTATGATACAAAAAAAGTGGAGAAACAAAAAGCCAAATCTGACACATTGCACGCAAAACCCCCAAAATGGACTGGACAAAATGATTGGCACCTTCTCAAAACTGTAAGAAATAATTGTATTCCAAGTTTGTAATGCTCTTGTAATTTGTAATTAAACTCACCTGTATCAATTAACAGATCTTAATGTTCCTGTGGCCACTGTGCGCAACATTGTCAAGAAGTTTACAGCCCATGGCACTGTACCTAATTTCCCTGGACTTGGACGAAAGAGAAAAACTTGATCAAAGATTGCAATGAAGGATTGTTCGAATGGTGGATAAAGAACTTCGATCAACTTCCAGACAAATTCAAGCTGACCTTGAGGCACAGAGTACAGCTGTGTCAGCTCACATTATAGGTCACTATCTGAAAAGGGACACTATGGTAGGAGACCCAGGAGGACCCCACTGCTGACACAGAAACATAAAAAAGCCAGATTGGAGTTTGTCAAAACTTACCTGAGGAAGCCAAAAGCCTTTTAGGAGAATGTGCTGTGGACAGACGAAACAAAATTACAGCTTTTTGGTAAAGCCCATCATTCTACTGCTTTCAGAAAAGAATGAAAAGAATACAGTCTCTACAGTCAAACATAGTGGAGGTTCACTGACGTTTTAGGGTTGCTTTGCTGCTTCAGGCACTGGATGTCTTGACCGTGTGCATGGCATTATGAAATCTGAAGACTACCAAAGAATTCTGGGGTGCAATGCAGGGCCCAATGTCAGAAAGTTGTGTCTCTGTCAGAGGTCATGGGCCTTACAGCAGGACAATGACCCAAAGCACACGTCAAAAAAGAACCCAGAAGTGGTTTAAGACAAGGTGCTGGAGAGTACTGAACTGGCCAGCAATGAGTTCAGATCTCAGTCCCATAGAGCACCGGTGAAGAGATCTCAAAACAGCAGTTGGGAAAAGGAACCCTTCCAATCTGAGAGACCTGGAGCAGTTGGCCAAAGAAGAGTGGTCCAAAATTCTAGTAGAGAGGTGGAAGAAACTCATTGATGGTTACAGGAAGTGATTGGTCTCAGTTATTTTTTCCAAGGGGTGTGCTACCACATATTAAATTGAGAGTGCCAATAATTGTACACAAATGGAAGCACCAGACCAGAAGATAAGAGTCCAAATTAATTTAAAGATGTTATGTTAAAAGACAGCCAACACGTTTCGGGGGTCAAAGGAACTCCGGCTTTTGGTGTGGCAGTGGATAGCTGCCTTTAGTCTGAGTTATTATCAGTGTTATATTTATGTTTTGTTATTTAAGTGCCATTGATAGCCCCTGCGTGGACGATCTTTTGCCCTGTTGGTGTTAGAGCACTGATTTCTTTAATTTTCTACTTCTTCTATGTGCAATTGATAGCCCCTGCATGGGCGTGATTTGTTGCTCCTGTGTTAATTGTTATTAATTAATAAAAACCATTGAAATACAAAGGAACTCCCGCTTCATCAGGGCTTCAGTTAAAAGTGAGAATCTTGAATGGACTCAAAGAAAGTCTTTCCTGTTTAAATATGTGCAGGGGAGCTGAATGCTGGAGTAGGATTCCTGACCAGCAGTGTGACCAGCAGTGTCTGCATTAGCAATCAAACTAAGCTAAGTGTTTTCTTAGTTTGACTGCTGATGCAGACACTGTTGGTCAGGAATCCCACTCCAGCATTCAGCTCCCCTGCACATTTTCAAACAGGAAAGACTTTAGTCCACTCAAGGTTCTCATTTTTAACTGAAGCCCTGATGAAGGAGGAGTTCTTCTGACCCCTGAAACACATTGGTTGTCTTTTAACATAACATCATTAAATGAATTAGGACTCCTATCTTCTGGTCTGGTGCTCCTTCCATATGTGCACACTTTTTCCTGGTTACCTGCTGGAGCACCCACAGTAGGGTGGCCTTGCATATTGTGACCAGCGTAGCCAGAGCCACTGGGCTTTGAGTGTTTTTTT